TAAAGTAATGCAATGATTATCACAAGTCCTCGGGGGAAGGATCCAATGGAGGAGGGACTCACAAAATGCTGCTAAATTACCATCAATGTTCTGTATCTTAACTCATGTGGTGGTGACATGGGTGTTCACCATAGTCACCCTTTTGTAGTTGTATTTCACAACGCAAATGTAAAAGAAAGAAATATCATACTAATTGTAAAAACTTGGATAAAGTAGGGCCCGGCCCTGTTGCCAAGTGATTAAATTTCCATGTGCTCTGCTTCAGTGGCCAGAGTTTGCAGGCTTGGATCCAGGGCAAGGACCTACTCCACGCACCAGCCATGCTGTGGAGGTGTCCCACGTACAAAAAATAGAGGATTGGCACAGATGTTAGCTCAGGGCTAATCTTCCTCAAGTGAAAAAAGAGGAGGATTAGTAATAGATGTTAGCTCAGGGCAACTCTTCCTCGGAGGAGGGGGAAAAAAACCTGGATAAAGTAAATGATAAAGAGTATCTCATAGTGTTGGCTTGTTGAGCAGTTGGTTTTTCAAGTTGTAATGATCTCGATTAACAAAGGCAAGAAAAAACTGTGAATGTTTTAGCACGTGTGGAAAGATTGCTGCTGTAAAAATGAAGTTTGCATTTGGAATGAAGAGGTGACCTTACTCTGGGGTCATTCATACCTGTTAGTTCGTTTTCATGTGAAGAAAATCACACCATTGAGAAGTTATAAGAAAATGACGAAAATAACAGCATGGGAACTTATATTAAAGGAATATCATCACCAGTCATCTTTCTTCTTCCAGAAAGTTCTTTCAGAATTCCCCATATTAGAGTGAAAGAAACCAGCAGGTCAGAAACTCAGTATTTAACACTTGAATTATCATCAACAGGATACACTCAGTGAAAATTCAATCAAGAGTAGCATGAAAACCACACACTATAATATATTTCTAGCCACTTTCCAGCTCTCTTTCTCCATTTATAACATTTGTTGGTAACAAAGAAAGAAATTGCCATAGGGTAAATCGCCAGAGGGTGAACCTCTCACATGTTTTGTCCCAAAATTGAAAAGTTCAATATATGAGCAGTTTAGCTTATTAACTAACAAGATAAGTGGGAAAATTTTTGAGCTATTTTTTTCCTGATTATAAGTAATTTAAAACATAGTTCTATTAATTCAGCATAACACTGAACTATGATATAAATTTCATGAATTTAAAAAATAAATTCCAGGGACCGGCCCCGTGGCCGAGTGGTTAAGTTTGTGCTCTCTGCTTTGGCGGCCCAGGGTTTCACCGCTTCGGATCCTGGGCGTGGACATGGCACCGCTCATCAGGCCATGCTGAGGCGACATCTCACATGCCACAACTGGAAGGACCCACAACTAAAAATACACAACTATGTACTGGGGGGCTTTGGGGAGAAAAAGGAAAAATGAAATCTTTAAAAAATAAATAAAAAAAATAAAATCTAAACCCTTAAGAAACCAAAAATTTTGTGCTTTGGGCTCATCCTTATACTCCATTTGTGGGCATTTTCTCTCTTCTACAGACAAGAGGAATTTGGGAAAATCAGTTTAAGCGGCACTGGTTACAGCATCAAGGTTGTTAGGGTCTTTCACCGGCCACGTTATACTCCTACTCTATTTTCCTCCTCTCTTGATAAATAAAACCTATAATAACAGGAAAAGGGGAGAACTGGAAGAATAATCTTTTTATTTGTTTATATTGAAGAATAAGTTTTAAAACATGAATTTTATTTTATTAATTCTTAATCAAAAACCTAACTTAAAAACTTCTAATAGTTTTCCATTTAAATGAGAAAATAATTCCACGGTCAAATAAACATAGAACACAAAGTTAAATGGTATGATTTGCCACAGAATTTCTCAGGGTCTCTAATATGCTGATATACATTATAAATCTCTAAGGAAGGGATATACAGCTGTAATTTCTGAAACATATTTGACTAGACTTTTAATATATTTTTTAACTGAATATACTTTGAAAAATGATGAGGTACAAACTCCATAGGCTGACATTCTGGGCTACCTACACTCTAACCTTAAATCTCTCCAAACCACAAGCAACCAAACATGTTCTACTCATTGTCCCTGGAAACCCTCTGCCTTGTTAACATAGGTTTTCCCTAACTCCCTCAGGGCCAGTGAATATCCCAGCATACAATACTTCTCATTGTAAGTACTTATTTGTTTATTAAACGAAGGTATCACCTCATAGGAAACTGACCTATGATATAACCATTAGAATCTTAGTTTTGGTAAATATTCTTGTGGGAAAATTGAGAAAAATCTTTGGAAGCTAAAACCACGATGTATTATATGCATCTGAATCTTTATTCTCTAGGAAGCAGTGAGGTCTATGTGCTCTATTTGAAAGTACTGAATTCAGGAAAAAAAAACCCAACTTCTTTAGCTTAACGTATTATAGGAAATTATTTTATCTTAGCTTTTTCCTTTGAAAATGTTGAAATTAATATCTCCCTTTCAATCACCACTCAATTCCCAGTTCCTATTTGCACACCTGGCACACAGCAGATGCTCAATTTAAATATTTGTAGAATGAAAGACTATGATCACAGTAAAAGAAATCAGCTTAAAGTTTTTCTTTCAATAGTAGAAGGTAAGGACTACTACTCAATCTCTACCGCCGAAAGTGACTTTCTTTTACTCAGTAAACAGGTTTTCAATAAATGTTTCCTGAATAACTCAAAAGATAAACTGGGATTGTTAACATTGATATATTGAGAGACTAACTTGTTTTGGCTGACTCAGAAGTAATAACAATCTATAACCATGATGGAGATGGCCCTAAATATAGCGAAGGTACAGAAATGTGCACAAGTCTTAAGTATATAACTCAGTGGATTCCCACAAACTGTAACCATCACCCAGGTGAAGAAACAAAACTTTGCCATCAATCCGGAAGTTTCCTTCATGCCCCCTCTCAATCATTAACCTCTCCATTCTCCCCAAAGGTAATCACTATCCTGATTTCTCACACCATAGATTAACTTCTAAAACCATAAATTAGTTTTTGAGATTTGTGCCAATAGAATCCTATGTATTCTCTTATTCCCGGCTTCTGCTCAATATTGTGGTTGTAGGAGGTATCCATGTTGATGCATGTAGACGCAGTACATTTACTGTCACTGATGAACAGTATTCCACGGTATGAATATGCCACAATTCGTCCATTCTACTGTTGAGGGACGTTCGGGTTATTTGCAGATTGAGGCATTTATTAATAATACTGCTAGAGACATCATGTACATCTCTTGGTGAACAGTGCATACTTTTCTTTGGATATATACCCAGGAATAAAATTGTTTGGAGAGAGGATATGCAGAAATGCATTTCAGCAGATATTGCTACTTTTCTAAAGTGGTTATACAAATTTACTCTCTCACCAGCAGTATACGACAGTTCCCTTTGTTCCACAACCTTACCAACACTTGGTATTGCCACTCTTTTCAATTTTAGCTATTGTGGTGAGTATCTCTTTCTGGGCTTCATTCTATTTCATTGGTCTATTTGACTCCACTTACACTGCTGTCACAGTCTTAGTTACCGTAGCTTATAAAAACTCGTTTTCTGGTAGAGTACGTCCTCACCTAGTTCTTCAAGTTTTCAGTTCTTTACCTTTTCTATTTTTATATACGTTTGAGAAGCTTTTAGTGACTTGTTATTCTGATGGCATTGGCCCATATTACCACAGCATGTAATCATTAATAACTTTCTTTTAAAACTGTCAATTTATTAGTTTATAAACTCAATTTATTGCTTTGCTCAAATTACCAGAGTATACATGTGCACAGTTCCGAGTTCTAGAGGTAGTGCACAGAGCCCTAGATTGGATAGAGCTCATTATCATCTTATCTTCTAATTCCTGTGACTGCACAAACTTGCAACCTTACAGTAACTGAGATGTTTCCTACACAGCCCCTTAGATATCTTTGCTAATTATTACCAGAGCTCCAAACTAATTTCAGTCCTTAAGACACTAGCCCTAGCCCTCTTCAGCTTCTAAATTCTCCGTCAACACTAATTCGTAATCTCTAAAGACCCCTGTTATATCTTTTCCCCCTAGGAAACTGCCACTGCTTTTACATTCTAACATTCCTCATCTTCGTAAGGAACCAATTATGTTGTTCCCTGAATATAAATTCCATATTTCATTTCTAAGAATAAAGCATTAATTTTAAACATTAAAAAAAAAACCAAAATTCAACTTTTAAAATGAAACCAATTTCTAAATGCACACCACTAAAAAAAGCTGGTAAAATTAAAATTAGAATTCTTTATATATACATCAGCAGAGCTTAAGATAACTGAAAATTGCTCTTCATATTCCCAAGATCTCTTTTTTTCTCCCCATGTATTACAGCCCCATCACCACCACTCCCAACAACTGAGCTTTAAGCCAAAACTACTCTTTTCTATTAGCACCACAATTGTTCAAATTTTCCTGGGTAAAAATAAGTGAACAATACTTAATTTGTACAAAGGATCTTAATGCATGCAATTATTTTAGATTCACTAAACAAAATTTTTTTTAAGAACTAGGTTAAGTTTATGGCCATCCCTTTTAAGTGTTTACAAACCTTTTCCTCATGACACACGACACATAGGAAAAGAAAATTTGTACTGCATGCTGGAAAGTATTAAAATCCTTGGATGAAGTGACTCTTGGTGGAAACAAGTGGCCCAGGGATGCAGGTAGCTAACTCTGCAGTTTGAGAAGTTCTGCTCATTTCCTGTTTATTATTCCAAGAAAGGATTTTTTTAAAGATTTTTCTTTTAACATGTTTGTTTACATTTACACAATGCTAGAAATGCTGCTGACATTTTCACTGTTACCATTTCCTTGTCAAGGGAAGGCATTATGAGTATTTAGTCAAAACTAAAGCTACAGTCAATGTTAAATTATGAATTCAAAAAAGGAAATTTAAGTGCTGTCTTGTATAAAGCCATCAAAAAGTTAATACAAGTACTAGTCTTAAGCAGTCACACAAGTCTAAGCCACATTTATTTGCACATGTATAGTAATGGGCAACAGATACTCCAAATTCATACAAATTTATAAAACAAAGTTAATAATCACTTGGTACACTTGCGTGTTATCTTGCTCACAGATTCAAGTGTAGATTAACTTCCTTCATTTTGTAAACTTTCATACAATACTTAAACAAAAATTCTTGAAAACACATTATTGGCATGTTTCAGAGTTAGAGCCAACACAAAAGTTAAGACAAGACCACAAACTCAAAAACCAAATTTAGAATATACTTTTCTACCTCCCTCCCCTAGAAAGAAGTGATTATTTTCTTTAACAGATATATATGCTGTATCACACAAGTAACCATGGAGACAAAAGAATGATGCTCCCATAATCATGAAGAAAATGCCAACCAAATTATACTATTTTAAGTTATCTACCAAATACGTGGTTTAAAGATGAGGAGGGGAAAATGCTTAGATTAAAATAACAAGGGAGATTAGAAAAAACAGTAAATGATTTCACGGAGAACTATTATGTTCCCCCTCAAAGCTGCAAAGATCTGATTTTGACAACTCAAAATAACTGCCTAAGGCAAATAAAAGTGAGGAAACTTTCAAAGACATTCTAATCACGTTCAGTATCTAGTGATAAAAGCTGAAAATGGTATCAAGAGGATATTTATTATACAAGCGTCAACGAGGACATCTCAAAACTAATGAAAGAAATGCACATTTATTTCTACAAAAGCAATGTATGATACAGAATTAGAAGGGAACAGACTTAAAGATTTACCTATTAAAATATACATTCTTACTGCAGAGTATAGGATATTTAAAAAAGATGACAAGGGATGTTAATCTTTTTTTATTATTATTATTTTACATATTTTGGAACCTCACATAATTTTGATAAATAACTCTTACAAAATTATGCAAAAAGTACAAGAATGTCTGGTAAACAAACAGTCTGTATTTTCCAAAAAGATTTTTTACAACATGCAATTCTTAAGGCAGCATCCTCCTTACAAGGAAAGGTAATCCTTTTACTCATCAAGAAATCTTCTGCTGCAAAGAATAGGCTAAGAAAGCCTGGCTTCTTCCATTAACGCCTTTTGTCTTTCCTGTCTGATTTTCGGTCTCTTTCACTTCTCGACGATCTTTTGCCTGATCGACTACTCTCGGATATAGACCTTTTCCTGTCGGACCGGGAATTCTTATCCTTTGATCCTTTCGTATCTCTACTACTACCACCTTTTGAAGATTTGTGACTTCTTTCTAGTCCTGAAGTATCCCTTCGCTTCCGATCCACGCTCCTTCTGTGCTTTCTATCTCTGTTATGTCCCCGGCCCCTACTCCGACTTCTACTCTCACTACTGCTAGTAGTGCTGCTGCTACTGTCTCTGCTGCTGCTGCCACTTGTACTGGAGCTGCTGCTGGAACTACTTCGACTACTACTGCTACCGCTGCTGGAACTGCTGCCGCTGCTGCTACTGGTTGAACTGCTACTGGAACTGCTACTGCTACTGCTCCGACTCCTGCTCTTGCTCGTTTTATTCCTAGCTCTACCTCTACTTCTGCTCCTAGTTTTGGTTTTGGTTTTGCTCTCTGGATGCACCGTCAAGACTGGCTCTACTGTCACCTCAGTGAGTTTTACAGATTCTAAAGGAAACTCCTTCCTCTCAGGCAGTAAGTGCCCTTGCTCCTGAATGACCTGAGGTGGTGGCTGAAAAACAGCTAAGGGCAAAGTCTCAGGCTGAGAGAGCGGATGGGGCTGGAGCACTGGCTGGGGCTGGGACTGAGATGGGGGCGGGGGTGGGGGCTGAGGCAGGGGCTGAGGCTGAGCCACAGGCTCAGGTTGGGGCTCAGATTCTTTCTCTTCTTTTTCCTCAGGCTCATTTTCCATTTCGAGAGCACTAGCATTCTCTTTCACAGGAGAAAGAGATTTACATTCTTTATCTGGCTCAACTTCAAATTCCATCTCTGGCTCCAATTCTTTGCTAGTTTCATTTTCTGAAGGTTCTACACTTTCCACTTGATTGGTTTCCATGACTTCCTGCTCAGCAATGACATTTTTGACACTCTCGACCATCTCTAGCACATCCATAACTTCTTCAGGCTGACTATCCTGCTGCTTCTCACTTTCCCTTACCTCAGTTTCCTCCTCCATCTTAACCTCCATTTCCTGCTTTTGCTCCTCCTCCTCCTGTTCTTTCTCCACATCGCTATGAACTATACCTATTTCCTTTTCCTCTTCCTCTCCTGGTTCCTCTATTTCTACATCATTGTGCTGATTACCTGTCTCCTCCAACTCTTCCTCTCGCTGAGCCACCTTACCCTCTTCTTGCTCCGCCTTCTGTTCTTCATTACGCACCACCTGATGCTCTTTTTCCTTCATTGATTGTCTTCTAGGCCTAGCCTCCATTTTATTTATTTGTTCTGCAAATTCGATGCGTCTACCTTCAAATAAAGCTAAGGGATAAAAATTTACATGTGTAAAATTTACCATCATTAAGAAAATTCAAAGTCGTAATTTGACACCTGGTCAGAAAATGTTATTGAGCTTTATCTCAATGTCTTTGTAAAGAGATGATGACCAGACTGATAATGGCAAATAAGTAATTACACATTGACATAAAATGATAAAAGCAAAGATCCACTGGAAACCTATATAGTAAGAAATTAGTAGCAGGCAAAACTATACCCCATTATCTAACTGATGGAAAGAGAACAACCTTTTGCTATCTTACTTCACGCTAGATAAAAAATAAAATTTATTTTAAACAGAATCAGTTTCATGGTATCATATGATGCATTAATTTTTCTGATCCCAAGGAGAGAGAAATCATCTAACTGCCATCTTAGCAATGCCCATCCTTCCATGTATGCTTTCTCTATCGACTACATCAGTGTTCGCTTTTCCCCCTTACTTTATTAGCATTTATATCTGGTTACTAAGAGTACCAAGCAAAAAGAAGCCAGCTCAAACATTTAAGAAATTCACATGTATTAAGCACTGCCTACAATGTAAGTTTCAGATTAAAATTCTTCAGGAAACAAACGCCCCTGCATTCCAAACATATTAGCACCTTAGAATAACTTTTTTAAAAAATCAACTATTGAATCACAATTATTACAGGAAACAAATGTGTGTTGTGTTACCTTACCCATTAAGAAAATTTCAACAGACTGCTTCAGTACACTTACCATTCATTTTTCTCTGTGATTCTTCTATTAATTTTTGGGTAGCTGGACACATTCTTCCAGGAATATAGAACAAATGGGGCTTTGTCTTAGTTCTTATATATTTAATTATCTTGGCGTTATGCTCATTCCATTCTTCTTGCTAAAGAAAAGGTAAAAGTCAGTGCTTTTGTAAACATGAATGATCACCCATTTTAGAATTCCAAAATACTACTCACCAGCTGCGCAAGCTCAACCTTCTGTTCCAAAAGCCGCAGTTCTGTTTGTTTAGCACGCCTTTCTTCGAATAGTTCTCTCCTCTCATTTTCAACCTGCTTTCTTTCTTCTTCTGCCTGCACTTCAAGTTTTTGTTCAATTTCCTGGCGCCTCTTTTGCTAAAGATAAATAATAATCTTTAAGAGCTTATTACACATCCTGATTATGTGAAACATTACAATTTTCCCAAGCTATCTGTATACATCTCACATTTGCAATTCAGGATATCAGCTAATTCAAACTTAGCACTTAGCATTTGAGGCTGATTGCAATTTCTCTTTTCAGGAAATGGGGACCAAAGCTTGTTCACATAAAAATCTAAATTTCAAGGCTATTAGCCATAATATCAATAACTGTTCCATTTCAACACAACTTTTAGTTAAGCTTCGTTCATAAATTGACCAAAAAAAAAGCAGTGCCTTTATAGATTAAATTTTCAGTTATTTCTCTGACCATATCAAAGAATTTAACAGAAGCGATGTCCTAATGAAGTAATTAACAAACTAGTCAACTCTCCCTCCCTTTTAAAACATCTACTGCCTTATTCTTCAAACATTAAAATGCTTTTAAGCCTTCTAAATTCCCTAGTAAACAAATGCTAAAGTAAAATTTATAAACCTTCTATAACTGAATTATCACCTCTCTTTCTACTATAGTTCTCCCCTGAGAAGCAAAAAGTTGGTGTTCAACTCTGAGGACACAATTTTGCAGCTTGAATAAAATAAAAACTTCTGGGGCTGGCCTGGTGGCCGAGTGGTTGAGTTCGTGCGTCCTGCTTCACTGGCCCAGGGTTTCACAGGTTTGGATCCTGGGTGCGGACATGGCACAGCTCGTCAGGCCACGCTGAGGTGGTGTCCCACCTGCCACAACTAGAAGGACCCACAACTAAAAATACACAATGATGTACCGGGAAGCTTTGGGGAGAAAAAGGAAAACATTTTTTAAATCTTTCAGAAAAACATAAATAAATAAAAAATAAAAACTTCTGGAAAGATGACACAGTTACATAAACTGTAGAGGGCAGGTAATGTTTATGCTTTTGCTTCCAGAGTGCTAAGTACTGCCTCTGAGTGTGTAAATAAGTCTTGAAAAAGAGAATTACAGAACTAGTTACAAAGACTGAGTTCAACTCTCCTATTTGAGAGAAAGCACTCTCAAGCCTAAAGAAGTAAAGGGACTCGTCCAGGACCAGGAAATGAGACTGCGGTAGAACCGAGAGCAGATCTCAGGTTCTCCTGACTCACAGACCAGGGCTCTTTGCACTACAAAACCAGGTTCACTCATTTACTTCACAGCACATCAAAAAAAGACCAGTTAAAAATAGAACGACTCCAGAAAGTTTTATAAGTTTTTCCTTGGCTTCATTTTAGGCTTTCAATGAAGTCTTGCGAGAGCTTTTCAGCTCTTTTTTAAAAAATATAATCAACTACTTTGGTAATTTAAACAAAGGAAGAAAAGGAAATTTACTGCATAAATACCCTTTCAGTAGCAACAGTGGATTCTTGTTTGAATTTCTGAAGGGTGCCCATCAACAAGCCAAATATTCGTCGGTTCCTAAAGAACAGAAAAAGAAAATTCAATTCCAATGTTCCACTTCATGTAGGCCCACCATTTCCTAAAAGAAACATACTATAGACACTTGAACAATTCCTTAAGTTTTCTTAAAATGGCCGTACTTGACAGGAGTTCTTTCCCCCAGAAGGAGACTAAAGATACCTTTGCTTTCCCTTTTCATCCATATTTTGATCCTGGATAAGGTCTCTCCGTGTGCGCTCTTTGGAGGTAGCTACAACTGAAGACTGCAAAGCCGGCTGTGAGAGATAAGAAATCTCAGTAATTTTACTAGCACATGGGTGGCACTCTTTCAAACGTAGCAAAGTGAAAATACTATATTCATCCTCAAAGAAGTTCTTTCAATCTCAATTACCTTTTTAACATCATCGTCCTCTGGGTCGCTTTCTTGGCGTGATTCTCTCCGAGTCCGACGCTCCCCGCCCAGCCTGACACAGGGAAAAGAATTGAAACCACCGCTGTAGAATGTGCCTTAAGTGCATGCCAAGGGCAAATGACTACTTTTCTAGGACTCATTTCCAGAAGCCTCATTCTACCAATCTCCAATCCCATTTTATTCTTTCCTCTGGTAGTAAAAGCATAAAACGTTATCACCAATGCCATATCCAAACTGTGATCTCCTATGATATATTTCTCAAGCTGGTTAAATTTTTGTAGTACCAGACAGAAGAGTGGCACAGACTGATTATTTTCCCAATCTTGATTCTTCTTGTGACCTTTTCTTTTGGTAAAATATCTGTTACTGTTAGTGAAGAACTGAGTTCTGGGGGATACTGGCTTTCTCAGTTCAGTCAAATACCAAGGGAACAGACTCAGAAAAAACGGTATACTACTCCATTCTAACCCAACCCAATCCGACAGTATTTATCTTTGCATGCTACCTCAGAACACAGAGCACACAAGCACACCTGCACAATCTTTGCCTCCAACATACCTACTGACTGCCCCTTCGAGGTCTCTCTGTTTGGCTGGGGGTCCTCCTCCACTATCTGAGAATCCACGCCTGCAATTAAAGAAGTCCGACATAAAGCACTTGAAGTTTAAGATAAATGATATCTCCATTCAGCAAGAGAATTTAAATTTTTAATTAACACTTTCATTGAAAGTAACCTTAAATGCGCACTCGCTCAAGATACTTGCAAGCATGCTTTTAAAAACTACAAAAATGAATTAAGTTTACAGAAAACGGGTACAGTTAATATTTTCTCCCGTGTCTAGTTTGGCATGTAAATGAAGTTCCAGGATCAGTCCACAGAAAACTACACCTGATCGCAGCTTTAAACAAAACAAACGAGACACTCCGAACACTGGCTCTACCACGATTTTTGTTTCACCCGATACATGACCTTAGCATAGGAAGCCCCAAGTCTTAGCAGAGGGATTCAGTCCTAAGGAAACCTTACCTCAGCAATAAACTACCACGTCCTCTACCTCCACCAGGACCAGAAAGGGCCAGCAATCTGGCTTGGATGGGCCTACAAGAGAGCGACAAATCAGTACAAAAATCGCATGTGCACACGTCTAACGGCACCAGACTCTTCCACGGGCGCCGTGCAGCCCAAAGAGAAAATGACCAGAAAAGTTCTAAAAAGACGGTTTCGAACCCACGTGTTGGAAACAGGGCAGGAGGTCCCATTTTATTCAACTTCCTTGTTTCTCCAAGACCAGCATCACAGGAATGATGTTGACCTCGCTGCCACTACACATCAACGAGTTCGGATTGGGTCCTGAAGTCGCCCACCCCAAGAAGGCGCACGTGGGCAGGGGGCTGCGGCGAGGCGGCGGCCGCGTCCCGGGAGGGCTGCGGGCACAGGGCCGGGCGGGGGAAGCGGCTTTGTGCGGCGCTGCCGGGCCTGCAGGCCGAGGGCGGGAAGCGGCCGCCCGGCCTCCCCACGGGCGGGAAGCCCGCCCGGCGCGGCCGGCGCTCCTCCCCACACGGCCGAGCCCGGGGCCGCTCGGCGGAGCCTCAGGACTCCCCGCTCGCCGAGGCTGGGGTTCCAGCGCCGCCCGGCACAGGCCTCAATATTCCAGCCTTCTCAGGCTGGCCGCCCGCCCGGTCCCCCCGGCTGCTGGCTGCCCCTCGGCGCCGGCATTTCCCACCGCCCCTACCTCACGTCATTCGGATCCCGCCCGGTGAGCTTGCGAATATTCTCGTCCACGTTCTTTAGGCTCTCTTTGGCCTTTTCTAGCTGCTCCTGCAAAGTTCTCACTGCGACCGCCATCTTCTCCCCGCAGCAGGCTTCGAGACTGCTCCACAGGCCGCGCCTGGCCGGGTCGCGCCGCGAGACGCGGGCGGATTGACAGCTGGGCTCAGCCAATGACGACAGGCGTTGCTTTTCGGCCTCAACCACTCAGCGGCCGGAAGGGGGAGAGCCTGCCGGCCTTTGTGACTCCGGGCCAATGAAAAGTCGGCCGGGCAGTCCCCTCCCTCCCCAGCTAGCTGCTGGTGGCTGCGCTCCGCTTTTAGCGCAGGCCGGGGCGGGCCTGAGTCCCCGGGTCGTCCGAGACGTTGGCTCGCGGGCCTACTCTTCTGGCGGGTAGCGCGGAGCGTTCCGGCCCTTTCAGCCTGTGCTATGACGGGCCTTAAACTCTTTTAACTGCCTAACCACATCAGGGTGGGATGGAGGCGAGCTATTTCCCCCTTTTCCCCGGTAAATGATTTGATTAGGAAAGGGTGCGGCCATTCTGTTGGTGCGCATGCTCAGAGAGGGGCTGCGGGGCACAGGCTTCCCTCGATTAGGTGAGCCGAAAGTGAGCAGAGGGAAGCAAAGAATGAAGGAACAGGAAAAGTCATTAACCGTAATAGCTAACAGTTATTTTGTTCTGTACTCTGTGTCAGTCGCTTTACGTGCCTTATCCCTCACAAACCAAAAGCTTGAATAAAATGCCTGCTGTTACTGATAAGGACGTTGAGTCTGGAGATATTGTAACCGTCCCTAGGTCACACCAGCCGGGAATCGCCGTCCGATCAGACCCTGTGCAAGGATGTACTAGAAGAAAGAAGCGACGGTGAGACAGACGAGACAGGCCTAGCCTCTACACCTGGCCTAGAGCTGGTTGGTTTAAGATGGGGTTTGGCGAGGGGCACTATTATTAGTTGTGTATGTGAGGGAGTGTCATCCAGCTTCTCATTCCGCTCTACCTGCACTGCCAACGTGAGAACCGGTTTTGTTCCAGAAATATATTTGCAAATTATAGCTCAGAGAGCATTTCCACACGGAAATGATGTTATGTATAATCTTTGGGTTCTCATCCTCCATCGGTCAGCTAAGCATCCTCCTTGAACTAAGCATTAGTGAGCCAACTATATTTAACTGGACTTACCCTTGTTAATTCATCCAACTGTCTTTAAAAGCTCCTAGTGTATAGAGGCAGTAAGCTAGGTTCTGAGGATAAAGCCTAGAACAAGATAGCTGTGGTCCTGCTTCAGTGGGGTTCGTAGACTCATTAGGGAGCAAAGATCAGTCATGTACTCATTCATTCATTCAACAAATATTTATTGAGCACCTGCTATGTGCCAGGCACTATTCTAGGCACTTGGATACATCAGTGTACAGTAAAGATCTCTGCCCTCAATGAGCTTGGTGGCAGGAAGAGTGTGGAGACAGACGATAAACTTAAGCAAATTACATTGCATGTAAGAAATCGAGAAGTGCTATAGAAAAAAAGAAAAAGTAAAGCTGGGTAAGAGGGACGAGAGTTGACAATTATTTAATTCTGATTGTGAGCATACTTAGTCTTATTGACCCTTATCACAACCCTGTGTAGTAAGCAGTACGGAAAGCATGAGAGTGTGGTGATAGTACATCCTAACCACCAAGTGTATCAGTGTTTCCATGGGAAAATGCTTTTAGAGTTAACCAAAAATATATAGGATCTATTCCTACTTCCACAGGATCTATCATTAGGATCCTGGGCAATTTAACATGGTCTGCTTTATTGAGGACAATCAGTGGGATGCTGCATTCAGCATTTAGTTAGTGCTCAATAAATATTAGTTTCCCCTCTATTCTCCAAAATATTCTGAGAACCCCTTGTTATTGTAGTTTGAGAAATTAACCTTAGCAACTTGGTCAGTTCCTTACTCTTTGACCTCAATGGGCTTGGACTTCTGTTCCTTGACCGTGGTGATGAAGGGAGAATGCAATCAGGACATAAAAACTTGATTTTGCATACAGGAAGTTTTAGTGCTGGAAAAATTAAGATTGTGGTTGCAAAATACTTTTCAAACTTACACTACTTAGTGTTTTCAAAGGCTTACGTGGAACTTTTATGCTCGATTTATGTGATGATCGAAGAAACTGATTCAAACATCAAAAAATTACATCCAAACATGTCAAAAAAAAGCTGCCATAATTCCAATTATGGAACATGATCTTAAATTCCTCTGAAAGGGTATGAAGAGTTGAGAGGTTATTGTTAACAATTTGAGGAAACTCAATGTTAATTTAGGGAAAGCAATGAATTAATTGGGAAAAAATCTGCTTTGCGAATTACTAAGAAAAGAACGAATCACGGGCTAAGCAACACGTTCAAGCCAGAGTTTGCCAAATTTAAGAGGTGCGTATGAGCTAACATATGTATTTGCACCTCTGTAGGAGTTGTGTCTCATATCTGGGATAGATTATGAACTCCATCCCACAGTAACGTCGCTTTCTGAAGTCTTTAGCATTTTTCTGTTCACCTAATCCTCTGATTAATTTCTAATTTCTGGTTCGAATACATCTTGTTCTTTGCTTAGTCCGTTTTCTTTGTTCCTCACACCCCACTTCCAGTAAACCTCCTGGTGGCCAAAATGGCTCTAAATCTTTTTGCATTCACAGGCTTAATCCAAAATGGATTGGGGTAGTTTCTCAATATATCTAAAATTTATAGCCTGAAATATGATGATTTATTCACTCTTTTTACAACTTTTCTTATTGAACATACAGCAGAAGTGGAAGCTTTTGGTGAAGCTAATAAAAATTCATGTCAGTTCTAATTCATAGCTAATGAAACAGAGATGGCAGTGGAAGCTCCTTTTGTCTGATTTTACCCTCCACCCGCCACTTGCGACATCATAGGCGAGAGGAACCGTCCTCCTGTCTGGGCGCCAGCAGTCCACCCAGAGGAGGAACTCTGTGATCATAGAGCTGGCGGAATGCCGGGGTAGAGGGGACCGGAAGTTGTTCTCTCGACCCCCGCCCCGGGGCCGGATCGGGTCTCCGGGGGCTCTAGTAGGTTCCCGCTGCTGTCAGACTGTCTCGTTGGGCCCGAGGGCTGGGTGGCCCTGGGGTGGGCTCGTCCCGGTACCGGGCTCCCTCCAGGACCAGCCTTCCGGAAGCCGAGCGAATTCCTGTCTCCCAGCAACGAGGGTCGGGCTGCGGCCTCCGGGCTTGGCGGCGCGGTCCAGCTCGCCTAGGCGCTGGCCGGAACCCGGAGCCGGGCCCCGGCGGGAGCCGACACCGGAGCCTAGAAGAATAAGCAGGAAATGGCGGACGAGGCGTTGTTTTTGCTGCTGCATAACGAGATGGTGTCTGGAGTGTACAAGTCCGCGGAGCAGGGGGAGGTGGTGAGTGCTGCCACACGCCTTTGAGGAGGTCCTTTTGCGGTGACACTCCTCGTATCCCCTCAGTTCTTTCCTTCAACCCTTGTCCCATCGCCCCCCAACGCCTCCCGCGGTGTAGACAGCCTGGTCCGCCTCCAGAGATCCAAAGCTCTGGAACCTGTCAGCTGCCTTCGGTCTCTGGCATCCTCCTCTCTTTCGCACCTTCTACTAGCTGATACTTTTTTGCCCATTCCCATATCCGGGTCCTGCAGGCCACAGATTTTCTTACTTTTAGTGTTGTCCCTACCGTGATTTATGGCCTGGTTAACTGCACAGCTGATTTTGGCACCACTACTTAATTCTGCTGTCACTTCCAGCACCTCCGAGCCGTCCGCTGGCTGTCCAGCCTGAGAATCCTGTCCCTCTCTCCTCATCCCTAACCCGGATACCACTCCACGCGCCTCGAGGACAGAAGGTTGATGAGATTTGAGGTCAAAGCAGAGGAAACTTTGCAGGCGTTACTATAGTTAGGAAACACAGATTTAATAAATTCAAAAAATATTTAGTGCCCATTAAACGTCAGAGCTAGTTCTAGGTGCTGGGGATATGGTAATGAACGAAAGAATGGCCCCATCCTCTGGAGGTTACTTCTAAAACGTGGGAGTCCTCATTCACTCATTGACTTATTCAGAGAATATTTAAGTGTGTATTGTGGGCCTGACGCTGTGCTAAATGAATAAGATGAAACCCCTGCCTCACAGTTGTTGGGGAATAGGGCTTCCATGAATAGTGAACATATTGAGTAGTAATTAGGTATAGCATCACGGAGTTGAAACAGATTTTATAAATGAGATATTCCAAAGTCATCCTCAAGTCAGAAGCCCTTTCTATAATGCTGTTGAAAAAGAGCTGGAAAGTGGGAGTAGGAGAAGCATTCTAGGCAAACATAAAGGCCTAGAAGGATGAAAGAGTGTGGTGTGTTTAAATACAGTCGTCCCCCATTTTCCTCAGGGGATCTGTTCCAAGACACCCAGGGGATGCCTGAAACCACGGATAGGGCCGAGCCCTGTATGTACTATGTTTCTTCCTATACATGCATACTTATGATAAAGTTCAATTTAGGGCTGGCCTGGTGGCGCAGTGGTTAAGCTCGCACGTTCCGCTTCCGCTGCTCGGGGTTCACTGGTTCAGATTCCTGGGTGCAGACATGGCACCGCTGGGCAAGCCATGCTGTGGTAGGTGTCCCACATATAAAGCAGAGGAAGATGGGCACAGATGTTGGCTCAGGGCCAGTCTTCCTCAGCAAAAAGAGGAGGATTGCTGGCAGATGTTAGCTCAGGGCTAATCTTCCTCAAAAAAAACAAGTTTAATTTATAAGTTAGAGATTAACAACTACTAATAAAATAGAAAAATTATGACAATATACTGTAATAAAAGTTACCAAAGATTTAGCAACCTCAGCATATGATATTTTTTCTTTCCTTATTAAGTCCAGAACCTGCACCTTTTCTCTTAAAGGAAGCACTTTTTGGCTTCTCTTTGGCATATCCGAATTGCCTGCATTGGTACTCTTGCACTTTGGGGCCATTATTAAGTAAAATAAGGGTGACTTGAACACAAGCGCTGTGTTAGGCAACAGTCAGTCTGAAACCAGACAGCTGCCAAGTGACTAATGGGCAGGTAGCGTATACAGCGTGGATCCGCTGAACAAAGGGGTGATTCAGGCCCGGGCTGGACGGAGCTGAA